CCCCAAATAAAAACAAATCATCCTAAACCCAGAAGAGGGGGCGGGGGGGGGGGGGGGTTGCTGTATCTGGGAGACTCCTAGATAATCCAGGAAAATTTGTGTATGTAAGGGTATAACAGAACTGAAACCCCAGTCTATAGAGCAATGGCAGAACTCAACAAGATCAAACATTTACAGATGTAACTCATGCAAACGGAAGAGCATGTATTGTCTGAGTATCATCCAGAATATTGGTATATAACCATATCTTTAATATTCTCTTATTTCAGAGAAGACCCAAGCTGTGTGAATACTGTAACATTTTGCCAGTTTCTGTTCATTGCTGTAGAAGGATTCATATTTACTGCTCACTTTGGAACAAAAAAACCTGTTATTCCTATAAGGTAACTTAATAACAATCTAATGTAACTACAGACCAGTCTGTCTGTCTTTGCCAAAATGAAGAAATATATTTCATCTGGGGGAAACTTGTTGCATCCATGTAAGGCCAACTGACAACTGACCAATGACAAATGAAAGGTTATCAAATCCAAACGTTCCCAGATAAAAAGAAATTAATAATATTGCCAAAAAGCAACAGTCGGTAGTCATGATAATGAGTATTATGTTAACGGGATAATTTATTATTTAGAATGCACTCGTCTCCTTTTTTCTCCCCTTGAAGCCTACTCCTTTTCCTTTCCTGCCTCTCCCATTGATGTTCTGAAATAGGTTAATTTTCATTACTATTTCATTTGATGTTCCCTCATCTCAATTGACACCAAAACTTATATTATTATTTTGTGCTTGTTCTCAAAAGACTTTTTTGTTCCATCTCTTTCAGTAATTATGTGACAATGGTAGTCTTCTTCTTCTCAACCAGTGTGATCAACAATTATGCACTCAACTTTAATGTACCCATGCCATTACACATGATCTTTAGATCGGTTAGTGTTAGTTAGCTTATGTTTAAATTTCCCTTAATATATAATAATGTAACTTTTGCAAGATGTAGGTTGTTACCGACTTTAAGACTTAAGTTATGTAATCCCAGATGAGCCATGTAGAGTTCAGAACACTATCAACTGTAGCACTTTATTCACATTGACCATATCATGACAACTTCTGGACAAGATGTCATTGTAAGCCCTGAGCAAAGGCAGTTTTATCAAAGTTTTTAAGGGATCCAGATGCCGAAGCATTTGCAGCTACCATTCCTGTGTTTGACTCAATAAGAAGTTAAGTTTTATTCTTTTCACTTTCATTGCCTAACTGCAGAAGAAATTGTAAATATAAAACCAGCAGAACAACTTTTTATTGCTGTGCTTTTCATTACATGACAACATAAAATTGCTTCTTTGTTTGTTTTTTGTAGGGCTCCCTTGTAGCCAACTTAGTTTTGGGAATGATCATCTTGAAAAGAAGGTATGTCACTAATTTGTTCACGTTTAAGGAAATCATAGACTGTGAGCAGTCAGTTATTTTCTTCAAAGTCACTGGAGCAGGGTGCGCGAGTGGCAAACAGTGAGTACATATAGCGAAGCCACAAGCTGAGAGAGACGAGGGCATAAGCCAATTTGGGCGTAAGCCAGTTTGGCTAAAGGGATTTCTTGGCCTATACGATCACTCAATCTGAGAACATGCTAGCAGTCTATGGAAGTCATGGCATAAAAATGTAGAATAGACACACTAGATGAAAACTATAAAGTAAGAGAAATGCCTGCTCTGTTAACTTTTTTCTTCTTTTTTCAGATATTACCTGTCCAAGTATTTTTCAGTCCTTATGATCACAGCAGGAATTTGTCTATGCACATTAGCATCAGCAAAAAAAGTGGTACGGATGAAAATATTTATGATGTTTTATATTGTCTCACTACAAACAAAAAGTGAACCTCTGATAAAGAAATGCTAGGTGGCACAAAGCAAAGTAATTAGGCTTTATGACACATTGTGCTAGCGTTATTTTGAGCATAATAGCATGGCGGAAGCATTATACCAACATAAATAAATAGAATGGCACTTTCTGTTGCTTCTCCCAGCTGATAAGTGCACTTGTATTGTTACAATGGAAATACCACCAAATAGTTTGTATGAGAAGTATCTATTAGAAAGTGATGAATAGCATACCATAAATAGAGGATATTACATGGCCGCGCAGAGATACGAAATATCTCTTCGAGTGTTGAAAAATATTTCACGAGTAAGCTCAGCAAACAAGTGAAATATTTTTTCAACACGAGAAGAGAAATTTCATATCTCCAAGCGGCCATTTAATGTTCTATTTATTATATAGACACCAATGAACTACCAAACCATTTCACTTTAATAGTTTTTTGGTGTGAAAGGGACGATTTATTATGAAGGCATAGCAACGGTGATATTTTCACATGTGAGGATATCAAGTTTTCGTGCCAAAGCTCACTTGGTATTTCATTGGAGTTTATATGATAATTAGTTATATCCATGGTTATCATAGTCTGGAATAACTGGAGACTGTCTAGATGCATCCAAGAATATTTTTTGAACATTTCAAAATTTATTTTGTTAATAATATTGTCAAGATATCAGCATGTTTGCTTTGTAACAGACCTGACTATGATAATGCTGTGACTTTCAATTTTGTCTTTAGGAGTTTAAAGCATCAACTGGTGATCCATATACTGACTATATGTGGTGGTGCATAGGTAAGCATATTGACATTCTTTAAATGGGATGATTCTAATCTTTGGATATATATATACAAATGCCTGAAGTGGTCTCTTTGAATTAAAAGACAAAAAATTGTTCAAGTGAATGAATTAACCAGATTGGTTGCCGCCCGTAACTATAACATACTTCATGTTATCTACCAATCAAGAGTCACTGCTGCAGTATTGTTTTTGTTTGACCTTGTTACAGGTGTTGTACTTCTTGTACTTGCATTATTTCTTTCTGCAAGGACTGGCATCTATCAGGTAAGTATTCTCTTGTTAACCTCTAATTTACCTTAATAGGAAAATGCATTTTTCATTCATTATAAACAATGAATAAATCTCATTTGTGACAACATGGTAATTACTGCTTTGTAGCTCGCATTTAAATGGTAGTAAGTATCGTCCCATGTTCAGTAATTTGGATTCAGATCGGTGAAGTTTTTGCTTCTAGAATCTGGAAGATTGGTCTATAAGTAGGTTCAATGAATCCCCTTTCTCTTTCATTTATGGCTCCTCCCGTAGATACTGTTGAATGCTTTG